ATGCTTTAGCTGGCAGTGTTCAAGCGATTTAGATAAGAACGAATGATACAGACCGAAAAGAACTTTATCTCAAATTCACAAGAGAATACCCGTCCGTTCAGTTTCACAGGCGACGTGTCCAGGGCTCCACTCAGGTAAGAACACACAAACACCATCATGTCTAGTTTCATGTGGTGTACTTTGCCAGCTTGTGTTCTTGAAGGGAAATTCTTTATTTTTTCTTTACCTAGTGATGGATGGGAGGTTCCAGATAGGATAATAATGAAAGCAGATTAGGTTAATTTCGGAATATAGTTCATATCCCAAGGCGCCATTTAATGAAGCTAAGTTGCCATCCCATGCGTTTGAAAATATATTTTTAGATATCCCATTTTCAGAACAGTCTAACCTCAAACGATAGTCTATCACAAAAGATCATTACAGAGTGATATATAGACACTATAATAATTCCAAATGCACATAGACAGTACCCAGAAATTTTAAGCGATATCTGACATCTTGGCGAGCGAGCTGAGAACCAAGCTACTTTCACTGGGTGTGTCTTGGATTAGCTGGCGCCGCACTTGAATGGATAACCACTTGACATTGCTCTTTGTTGCTATGTAAACCAGCCCTGTGTAGTCTAAGGCCCTAGATTTTCCAGCGCGGTCCAGCGAAATTGTTAACGTGTATAGGTCCCTCGGGAAAGCGCCCAAAGGATTTAATGAAATTCGAGATTTACCTGGATGAAAGAGAGAGAAAAAAAAAATAGACAGAAAAAGAGGTAGAAGAAAGAGAGAGAGCGTCACCTATCAGGCCGATCTTGTGTATATCCTTCATTTTTCTACATTCGTTTTCTCCGTATTTCATCCGTAAGAGTGTGTTTTTTATAGTTAATTACATTTGCAGGTTATGTAGCATGTTGGACTTTATGTCTAGGAGAGCCAGGTCAGTGATGAAGGGTTGTAGCCTTCAAAGGTGTTATTTCCAGCCATTAGATATTTCTATATATAATCTCACTTGGTAGATATATGATTTATGATTTGCACGTTTATATACAGATTGCACACACACACACACACACACACACACACACACACACACACACACACATATAATATATATAATATATATATATATATATATATATATATATATATATATATATATGTATGTATGTATGTATATATACATATATTATTATTATTATTATTGTAAGCTATATAAAGATCCACACTGAAAAAAATCGAGATTTATACCACCAAAGGTGTTAGTGGAGGTCAAGATACAGCTAAGAAAGAATGAAAACATAGAAAGACAGCTATTTATGTAAGAAAAACATGTTAGCTAATCTTTTAAACTTCTCAAGAGTCGGAGAAGTTACAATCTCGGAAGGCAATCTATTCCAAATACTACAAATAGCAGTAAAAAATCATCTAGAAAACTGACTTGTAGACGATCGACTATGCATCAAATGTCATTGAATTGAGGGTCATAAAACTGGTAATTCTTACAGGTTAATAAAAATCAGAGGGGATGTGAATCATCGGTTACAATCTTACATAAGACTGAAAGAGCCCCAATAAGCCTGCGATGTCCAATGTCCAAATTTAAGTCAGACAGGAGAAATTTAGTGGAAATATTAGAAAGATCCAGCAGTCTTAAGTGTGACTCTGCAGCAGATAACCACACGGGAGAACAATGCTCAAAATGAGGCAGAATAAAAGAAAAGAAGTATCTATGAGTAATGTCATTTTCATAGATCTTGCAATTGCGAATGATGCCTAACTTAGATGAAATTGCCCGTGCCACATTCCAAATATGCAATTCAAATGTAAGCTTTAAATCAAAGGTTACACCTAAGAGCTTCAGGTAATCCACTGAAGTGATTAAGACTCCATTAATCAGCAGACTTGGATGCTGAGGCAACTGCGTTCGAGACCGACTCACAATCATTTCTTTAGACTTGGTAAGACTTAATTTCATGCCCCACCGAGAGCACCACGACTGAATCATCATCAGGTCTACAGTGAGATTGTTAGCTACTATTTGCCTTGTTGTCGGAGAGGGAATGTCAGCATAGAGAGAAGTATCCTCAGCATATGCTAACATTTTATTAGTAATCCCAGACCACATATTGGTTGTATATAAAATAAAGAGCCAGGGGCCAAGAACATAATCTTACTATAAATATATATATATGATATATATATATATATATATATATATATATATATATATATATACACACATATATATATATATATATATATATATATATATATATATATATATATATATATATACATATATGCATATAGATAGATAGATAGATATACACATACATATACATATTCATACACATACACATGCACATGCACATGCACACACACACACACACACACACAACACACACACACACACACACACACACACACACACACACACACACACACACACACACACACACATATATGTATATATATATATATATATATATATATATATATATATATATATGTATATATATATATATATATATATATATATATATATATATATATATATATATGTATGTGTGTGTGTTCTTTATCTTGTCTGTACAATCGTGTTGTTAGAATGACGAAGCCCGATTCCGAAACGCAGAGGCGAACGCGATCTCTCTCCTGCCAATCTTTCACCAATTTTCACGAATCGGCGAATCATTCCAGCTGATTAGGCGTAGTAATAACCCGCGCACACCTGTGCACGGCAGCTGCGCCTCTTGATTCCGCTCGACCTTTGTCACTGGGCGTGGCGACCTTGCTGGCTCTCTTACCGCGATGGAACGGAATTTGAAAAATGGGCATTTGGGGATCTTGTCGGGTACGCTGGCACGCACACGCACACGCACACACACCATATATGTATACATGAGCAGATGTATGCATATATGTATGTATATATACACATTCATATATAAATATATATATATATATATATATATATATATATATATATATATATATATATATATATATATATATATATATATATACATACAAAACCGCTATCATAAGTTTTTTAAGGATTTTGGTTTATCTTAATCTTCAAAGATTCAGGGCAATCTCACGCATGGCCAAAATTAAAACTGAAAAAAACACTTTTGTTTGTCGAATTTGTAGAAGGATGTTGATATATAAATGCCATACAGATGTGTTAAAGATGAATATATTATCTAAAAAGGATAACTTGTATATCACTGTTATTTTGTTACGGTAAGCTACAACGCATGAAGGATAATACAGGCTACGTTATGATGTAAGTGTTACATAATATTCCTCTGAGCATATGATCTTTGGCATATTACGCAACTGATCATGTGATATAAAGGACGACATATCCACGGCGTTTAGCAGCTCTAGCCAATCGTCCTAGAGCTTATCAGACATCTCACAACTCAAAATAACTTCCCTGAAAAAATGGCATTTTATTCATGATATTTGATCTTCTTTATATATCGCGATAATCCAGAAAACACTATTTGATCTTCTTTTATATATCGCGAAATCCAGAAAACACGCCTGGAAGATATTAAGGCATAGGACTCTTTCTTTTTCCTCTTGTTGCTACCCGGCGACACTTCCCGTCCACGCTCGCGCAAAACGGAACGGCGTGAGTGTAGCGAAGTTAAGAGAATTGAAAAGAAAAGCGTATTTGAGGCGTGGTTGATGGCTGTTATGGAGCGCATCCGGTGTCACGCGCCATTATCATATTTGGCGTCGTCTGTGGCCCCTTATTTACGAGTTGTTTGCATAATGCCATCCGTCGTGGGGGCACAATTTGCATATGCCATCCATCGCGTGGGTATAATTTGCGAATCTACTTTCATTTTTGTGACAGTTAAGGCATTCTTTTCCATATCCTGAATAAATTAGTTTGTACCCAGGCGCAGATTTAATGGACGGATGTGTATAACGTCTCTCATTGATACGTAAACAAAGACATAGACGATAGTGACGAAATGAAGGAAAGATGAATAGAAGCGTTATACAAGGTCTGTTCTCATGTCTCTCTCTCCACTCACGTTGCTTTATCTCTTCTCCAGGATGCTTATAGCGAAAGGTATCGGCCTGGTGGTGACGGCGGCGGTCTTCTTCGCCGCCATCGTAACCCTCAGTGAGTCGCGCCCCGTTGCTTCGTAGCGTAAGATAAGTGTTAAATTGATGGGGCCACGTGCTGTGCATGGCGACAGTGTATACGATGTTGGCAACAGTACAGATGGTACACGCAATATAATTGACAGCCATTCAAAATCATCTACATGTATAAAAGGGTTCTTACAATCAGACACCATCTAATATCCACAAAATTCAACAGTAACGAGAAAAAATAATTTAGCATCACTCGTAAATCATTTCACCCCAGAACCTCCTCTCACTCTCGTCCTTCCAAGGCCTGTTCGCGAGGCAGTGGACGAACGGCGACTTCTCGTTTCTCGCGGAGCAAAGTAAGGCCATCACGGACGACTTCATCAACAGCGAGGTCAACCCTGAAAATATCAGAAACAACCTTAGGTATAAGTTTCCCCAAACGTCACTACATCCAATTCATTCTTTACTTATACCTTCTACATCTGATTACATTGAAATTGGAGATTTATGGGTAGCGGTAAAGATTTAATTTACATATCTGACCTTCTACATCCAATTCACTCTTTACTTATACCTTCTGCATCTGATTACACTGAAATTGGAGATTTAACGATACATTCCTTACTATAATATATAATCTCAGGCATTTGACATCTCGACCTCACCTGGGCGGAACTGAGACCGAGTGGGAGAACGCGCAGTGGGTCGCGGATACCTGGAGGGCGCAAGGTCTCGACGACGTCCATCTGGTCCCTTACGATGTCCTGCTCTCATACCCAAAGAATGATACGCCCAACTTGGTTAGTAGGGTGGAGAGCGAGAAAGGAGGGAGGGAAGAGAGAGAGAGAGAGAGAGGAGGGAGAGTAAGTAGAGAAAGTGAGTGTGTGAGAGAGAGAGAGAGCGAGAGATGTGTGTGTGTGAGAGAGAGAGAATGTGTGTGTGAGAGAGAGAGAGAGAGAGAGAGAGAGATTGTGTGTGTGAGAGAGAGTGAGAGAGAGTGTGTGTTGAGAGAGAGAGAGAATACAAGATAAGTCAACAATCGAGTAACCATATTATAACCACACATAATCAGACCCCGAATGCTAAACAGGCTTTTTAACAGCCAGCAATATTCTAATTCCACAAGAACATTTGATCATAAGGAGTAACACGAATAAGAATTAGATCCATATACAAATAGGGTTTCATTTTCATTTTTCCCCCCACCCATGAGGTCCGGATCCTGAACTCAGCTGGCGAGGAGGTCTGGGCGTCCCACGGATGGCAGAAGCCCATTCACGCCCCCGAGGAATCATCTCCGGAAATCCTGCCCAATTTCAACGCCTACTCTGCCCCGGGGAATATCACGGTGAGTGGCTGAGACTGTACGTGGTCGCTTTTATCAAATTAATTCTTCGCATGTGATTGACGTCATTATTTTTAGTCTTTTGCATTCTTATGACTAAATTTCTGTAGCAATGCACTTGCTTTATGGCATCCTGTGACATGTATTGCAGTATATGTATTGCCTATCAAACCACTTACGTACCAACACGTGATACCACGACCAAAGATTTAAGTAGGAAATTTGACCTTCAGTACTGTTAGAGTTATTGGTTTAGTTAGAATTACGATCATGCAATTTCACTCTGCAGGGAGATGTGGTGTACGCACATTTCGGTCGTGAGCAAGACTTCAAGAAATTGGAGGAACTTGGTGTCAGTGTCAAAGGAAAGATAGTCTTGGCTCGCTACGGTGAAGTCTTCAGGGCAAATATCGTGAGTGACTTTAGCTTTGTTTTATGCGACGAGTGGGAGTGAAGATGAGGGAAAGAGAGGGGGAGGGAAGAAAGAGAGCGAGAAAAGCGTGGGAGTGAAGGAGGGAGAAGAGGGGGGGGGGAGAGAGAGAAAGAGAGAGAGAATCTGAGTAATTCAATTATAAAACGCATAGTAAACACAATTTCTCTGCATATTGACCCTGAAATTTCGATTCGACCCAATATCAACACGCCGGATTTAATCACATTATTGCCAACAGGCATCGACGGCGGAGAGACAGGGGGCTGCCGGGGTCTTGCTGTACAGCGACCCCCAGCAGTACGCCCCCCTTGGTGAGGACACCGTGTACCCAGGCACCGTGTACATGCCTGGCTCTGCTGTGCCGGCCGGTACAGTGTACCTGATGGACGGTGACCCTCTCACACCGTTTTATCCCTCTGTTGGTAGGTATCAATAGCAAGCCTAACCTCACAACACTAATTAATGCAATTTATCAGTCTCAGACGGGGAATATAAAGAGTAGCTTGTATCGCTGAAAATGCCAATGAACTGAATCCTCTTCGCTAATTCTCGTCTCCAAGAGAGCGCCTACAGGTTACCCGAAGAAGAGGCCAGCCTTCCCAAGATTCCCATCCAGCCCATTAGCTACGACGACGCCAGAGAGATCCTCGGGTAAGTCGTCTCAAAACTCGCGAATCTTAAATAATCACTGTAGAATCGCAGGTTGAGAATGCAAAGACCTGCATTCCAATGACCGCAGTAATTTCGTTGTCCTTTCGTGTTCTCACTTCCGTTATCCTCCTCGCCCGCAGCCGCATGGACGGAGACGAGGCGCCAGAGGAGTGGCGCGGCGGGCTGAACGTCACGTACCGTCTCGGACCAGGATTCCAAGAGGCGGGCTGGCAAACCCACCTCCAAGTGCACACACACAACGTCCGCACGACCACTTACAACGTCGTGGCTACCATCAGGGGGAGCGAGGAACCAGGTACTCGGGTTAGCAGGGATGGCGCTTTTGGGTTATGGATTTGAAATCATGCATAGAATAGCAATGGTGATTATTATGATAAGGTTAATATTAAAGGTGATATATTCTATTCCACTTGAATTATCTAAGTATTCATGGGGAATCACTTTTTTGAATATGCGGCTCAATATTCAACTTCACAAGACACACACACATACACACACACATACACACACACAACACCCACGCACACACAGACACACACACACACATACAAAACAAGCACCCCACACACACACACACCACAAGTTCATCACTATATCAACAGGCGGAAAACATGAGCTAAAAGCGCCGTCAACTCTAAATGTTCGTTGCCACAGACAGGTACGTGATCCTCGGAAACCACCGCGATGCCTGGGTATTTGGCGGCCTCGACCCCTCGTCGGGCACGGCCGCCCTGCTGGAGGTGACGCGAGTGCTGGCCAGCCTCAGGAACGAGACAGGTCAGTGCGCCGGGAAGGGTTGGGGAAAAGGATAAGCTTCCTGGTGAATTAAATTGCAATGTTTTACTCCATGTTATATGCAAGCAAGCAAGCACTTATACATACATTTAGTGCATACACACAAAGATAAATAAATACATACATACATACGTACGTACATA